GAATAAATTGATCGAGTTCGCTTTTTCTTTATCTGTTAAAGCCAGAGTTTCATCCTCTTTTTTTATAGGTCCAATGCTTTTTCTGGCTTTTGTATTTGTTGCTTTATTTACCAAATTCCAATAGGCGCTGGTACTCTTAACCTCACTGAACAAGTCAGAAAAGTAAGATGCTTTTGCTTGACGCATAGATTGAGTAACGTCATTCCACGGTCTTTTGTACTCCGACCACTTAGTAGGACACTTAGAGGCTACGGCTAATTTAAAAAGCTTAAATCTCCTGTTCATCTTTAGGCGTATATCATTTGTTACCCACGGTGGTGCCTGGCTTTTGATCTTCACTTCCTTCCAAGGAGCGTGTTTATCGCAGATATCATTAAACAGAGACTGAACATCATCCTTATCCTCAAAACATTCGGTGGCATGAAATGGCGCGTTAACGAGGTCAGATTTGAAGCTCTTTACGTCAAAGTTCTTATAGTTCCGTATTTTGATGACTCGTGGAGGTGGCCTTTTGTGTCTTAGACCAATAAAAAACATCCGCAACACTAACACAAAACTCTTCAACACAAACACAAACTTAATTTTGTGTTTGTGTTGTAGAGTTTTGTGTTGGTGTTGCAGATTTTGTGATTCTGTTTTAAGTTTATGTTTGTGTTTTAGAGTTTTGTGTCAGTGATGCGGATTTTGTGATTCTGTTTTAAGTTTGTGTTTGTGTTGTAGGTGTTGTGACTCTGTTTTGTTCTGACCGGTCACCGTAATAAAGCCCATCTACGTCGATATTTGTTCTCCGATTATTTCCGTCGAAAAGAAACAAACCCAGCAAAAAAAGCTCTCGAGTGTCATTCTTTCATCTTTGTTGCTTTACATAGAAGAAATGCGGACTCGTTTAGGAGAGTATGCCGTTAGGATCCTTTCTCATCTAATTTTATGATGAAGACAAAATCGACAAATCAGCAGAATAATGGATTAATTTTGGTAACAGCTAGTGCTTTTTCCAAATTCGTCGGACTCGTACTATTGCATTGCGAGGGGAGCTTTATTAACTTTTTTGTGGCGATTATCGGATGTCCTGGAGTGTTCGTCGAACACTTCATGCCACCGAGAGGTGCCAAATCTTGGCTTGAATTACTTATGCAAATAAGCTGGCTACATACTGAATGTACACAAGAAAAGCCCAAGGCTGCACACTCCATTTCCGAACGCCCGATCCGAGA